CTTAGACAGTGTGTTAATCGATATTTCAAGTGGAGGATGATATTTATCGATACGGGATAAAGGACTAGTTTCAGAAATTAAAATACTAGTAGAGGATGACAAAACAAGGTCTAAAGTGCGATCTAATTCATTCCGAACATGATTCATCTGATATAAATTGCATTGAGAAATGTAATCACATAATAATGTAGCCTTAGAGTCTGTGGGATAGCTTGGAGCAAGGTAAGGACTATTACCATTTAGATTAACAGACCATGATAAAGTTGGCACATTGATATCTCCCAATACTATATTAGTGTCATTTGAGGATATTGTACTTAAATTTTTATGTAAGTTCTCGTAAAAGTACTTAAGTTTATTAGAGGGTAAATCAGGAGGAAGGTAACAGAGACTAAGGTTAATGACAGACTTCATTGGACAATCGAGCAAAACCGATATCCACAATTCTTCAATGTCACTCTCCCATTCTTTATGGCGAATTACCTTAAACTCCTTTTTAATAGCTATCAGTACACCTCCACCTTCAGATTTGTTAATACAAGTAGACTCTCGGTCTCTCCGGTATACAATGTAACGACAATCGAACAGCTCATTATCAAATACAGTATGATTTAAGTTTGTTTCAGTTAAACAAATACAATCGTAATTGCAATTTAGTATGTTTAAATATAACTCTGTTGTCTTTGATCTAATACGATTTACATTTGGGTAGTATAATTTCATGTAAGAACGTCGTTAAGAATCCAAGTAAATGTATCAGTCAATTGAGCTATTACAAATTTTTCATTCACGTAATCGAAAACAAACTCACTTTACTTTAAGTTTCTCAAAGTTACTAAAGTCTCTAATCAATAATACTGATTCGTTGTCATTTTTCCGCATGTACACACGTTCATATTTAACCCAAACATATTTGTATGAGTTATCTTTCGCAAACTTCCTAGTGTAACGCTTCCCCCCTCTCATAATAATAAATATATATTAAATACTAAATGTATTATATTCCCCTTTACATAATAATTATATATATTTGTGACCAAGATTAATAAAATATGTTTTGATCTTTCTAAATGATCTTTCTGAAGGTTTAATAATAGGCCGTTTGTAATATTTTGGCGTGATCGACTTGGTTAGGACCCTTATTTACGTTGTATTTGTTTAGTAACTTAGTTCTTTTAGGTGTCTTTTGGAAGAATGAATATTCGCTAGAGCAATTGAAAGCTGTTGGTAGTGCCTTATAAGCTAAGTGAACCCCGTTCACGAAGACAGGGCTCGAGAAAGGTTAAGACATAAAACGTCCCAATTCCACTTGTATCAGGTTTACATTATTAATTTAATATTATTTATCCCTTCCCGCTCGGAAAAGGCTCAAAATATATTTATACAAAATACCCGATACAAGGGCTTCGCTCTCCTACATTTATTAAAAAATGTAGGGGGAGACACACGGCTCCACACACGCCGTGCACGGTGAGCGCCAACCATTTTGATGCACTCCCCCCGAAGGGAACGCTAATTCGGGAACTGAACCGTAGTCCACAGCAAAATAACTGGCGAACCAGTAAAAGAGGCTTGGCCCCTTGTTAGTGCGTAAGCACAAACATCGACCGAAGTCGCGCATGTCAATGCGTGTAAACGCCAAACAGAATACGAACGAGTCCAGCCATAGTGAATGTACGTCACACGGTTTAGGCAATAGGCACACTGGCCGTAAACCCTCCGTGAGCGCCACCACCTGCCAGACCGCCGCTCCCGCAGACGTGATGTAAGTGTCTGGCATCACCACCAATTGCATGATTAGCACGGCAACTAGCCGCAGAGCGTGTTATGAGTCTACCGCTCACCTCAAGAGAATGGGGTCCCACGTTGTGCGGCTTTCGGCCGCAGCCTTGAGAGTCTCCTCAGATCCTCCCGCCAGCTACCACCCGCATGAGGTCAACACATATGCTCCACCAACCAATACAACGGCAGATATAGCCAAAAGGCAGTTATAAGGTAAGAGTAATAATTCGCCATCAGAAAGGGTTTGTGTCACTAACGTTGAGTAAATGCATTTTCGATCATGTTTGTCTCACCCACCAACAAGTTGCCTTCAATCATTCAAAGGTGGGAAAGTTACAGAGATGTAATATTATGTTGTTATATAAAACATCGTGGAGGGCAGACAGTCTGCAGCCCCGTAATGAAGGGATCCGACTTGGGCAAAGCTACTCAGGTGTGAGTCAAACCAAGACGCAGAGAGCGCCAATGAGAATAGCGTCCCACTAAACAACCATCGCAAAGACGCAACGCTGCAGAACGCAACAAGCATCAATACGACTATCGTCGGGCTTACACCATCTCAAGGTCCCCCATACATCCCAGCAGACATCACCACCCGCATACCTCCATCGACCAGAACCATAAGAGTGCATCGAATCAGGCACAGCACACCCGCAGATCCATCACAAGACGTAATACCGCAAGTAGCAGTAAGCATCAATGCAACTATCATACGGATGGCGCCCCCTCACAACACACCCACATGACCCCTATCGATTTTGGTAACAAAGTTTTTATTGTTGTTATATAAAAAATATCACCAACGTATCATAGTAGCACGCAACTAAGACGCCAATGAACAAAACTCCACGTATCATAGCGCTAATGCGCTAAGACATGAAGTTGAGTATGCCTGTTACACTTAAAAGTGCTACCAAACACACACATCATCCCAATCCGAAATATAGACGACGCATCGCTATGCGCAACGACATCGCCCACAAACGGTATGGGTATGCGATGTCCACGTGAAAGCCGTATTGCTACAACAAACCCGCTTCCCACCAGCACTAAGATGATATGTCTAGGACACATCGGTTAGCGAGTCCAAGTTTACCTCGGACCAATTGCTCGTGAAGCAGCACACACGCCACCATAATATTCCTTTTCAAGTCCCTAATAAGGACTAGTCATTTTGCTACAGTACTAGGAGCAGTCGGTCACCCGACCACTCCATACAATGCTTATGCATCAAGGAGACCTTCTATAATATTGCTTTTGTATCATAGAACTTACTTTCATAAGTCATTCATATATAGGGTTCGAACCCACGACCCTACTATTGTAATGCATATTAATCATAGAGACCTTCTATAGTATTGCTTTTGTATCATAGACCTTACTTTCATAAGTCATTAATATATGTGGTTCGAACCCACGACCCCACTATTGTAATGCAAATTCATCATAGAGACCTTCTATAGTATTGCTTTTGTATCACAGACCTTACTTTCATAAGTCATTAATATATAGGGTTCGAACCCACGACCCTACTATTGTAATGCAAATTCATCATAGAGACCTTCTATAGTATTGCTTTTGTATCATAGACCTTACTTTCATAAGTCATTAATATATAGGGTTCGAACCCACGACCCTACTATTGTAATGCAAATTCATCATGGAGACCTATAATATTGCTTTTGTATCATGTGAGTTTAATATCATAAGTCCCTAATATAGGACTAGTCATTGTGCTACAGTACTTCAGGCAGTCAGGCTCCCGACCACCTCATATATATGTACAACTGCAGGTATGTATCTTCGACAGCTCTTCCATACAAGACATCTATACATGAACACCTTTCATAACTTGGAAAATTTTCTTTTATACGTGAACTCCTTCCAAGACTTAGACAATTTTTAACAAATTTTCTAATTATCTTATAAATGTTATTTATCTTTATTTTTATAATATTTTCGACTTGTATTTCTATTATTTATCTTATTTTAAATATTTTTTCAAGTTTTTAATAAATTTATTTATTTTGGAAGACAATATTTTGCCTTTAATTTACTATGTTATTGATCTAATGTCTGAAATGTATTTATACTAACTTTATGGTTATTAATGTAATTTTATTGTTTAACATATATCTTTTAAGACTATTTTTGATGCCCCTTTATATTGAATTTAATTATTAATAATAATATTGGGCCGTCACACTAGCTTCAGCATAAAGCTTTTTGGTAGTGGAAGAGAGATGTTCATTTATTTCTCCTTCAATCCCAAGGCAGGTAGAGTTTAAGTGATTGAGGCGGTTAGTCTTGTTGTAACGTTTTACTGGCGATAATAAAATGTCCCTCTGCCGCTCAGTTTGTAGTATTACGAGAATGTTTCGTGGTCTGTCGGACTTTGGATTAATTTTAGCAATTCTACGAACAGAACAGATGCAGTTCGTATCCAGACTTATATTCACGGTGTCATAAAGTTTTTGTATAAGATGTAGTAAATTTTCATGACGTTTTTCCGGAACTATTTGGATTTCAACGTTATGGCTTCGTGAGATTTTTTCGACGCTCATTAAACGATGATCTAATGACTCAATATTTGACTTAAGTGTAGATCGCTGAAGTTCTAGGGTTTTAATTTTTTTATTAGCCACCTCAAGTTCCTTTAGAAGGTCATCCTGCCCTTTCTGAAGAAAATCGGTGGCTACTGTGAAATCCGATTCTATCATATTGATGGTATGGTTAAATTCTTTCGTCACCATTGTATGTTCTTCTTGCACTACATCTTTCTTGAAAGTACTTAGTTTACGATCGAGTAGAGCTTCGATTTGTTTTATGGTAACGGAGTCCGAGTTTATTTTGTCGCAACGCGTGTTGAGATGCACTGTTACTAGATTTTTTCAAGCGTGATGATCGTTGCAGCTTTTCATCACAGGACATATTAGAAATATCTGCCTGACTTGCTTGGAGGGAACGTATGTCGCGCTTACCAACTGGTGTACTATCATTTCTGCGCCGAGTTATATTAGTGCAAGATGGGCAATACCACTTCTGCTTTTTTCCACGTATTCGTCGAAATACACTTGCTTCTCTATGTTGCAACACTCGTAATGAAACGTATAATATACAACCAGCGCATTTAATGAGGCCGCCATCTTCGATAATGTATCTACACGTAATTGAATCGAATAGTTCGAAATAATGAACAAGACCAAATAATCAAGATGTTAACAAAAGTCGCATACACATTTGTAGCCAATGAACGATAATGCGTAGCCGCAATGCGATAGCGTATCGTAGCAAAGTTCGTAGCACTTTATAACGACTAATGCTTTAACACTAAGATTGCACACAGTTATCATTTTCACTGGTTTGAAGGTATCCGTTTTGTCGGTGCAGGTATTGTTTATAATCTGCATAACCTCTTCGTTGCTGTTTTCAGAGTTTGACATTGACGCTGCTGTCAAATGCGGGCCGTCATAGCTGCCAATATAACCATCACACGACGAATGATCATTCACTTCCCGCGAATGAGTTGTTGATTCTTCCGTTGACGTCATCGACTTCATGTTGTCACTTTGCTGCTGCCTTCGTTCTTTCTCGGCATCGATCACTATGGTTCATAAAAGATAGCTTGATCTCTGCGACAGCTATCAGTAAAAATCACGCCTATGATGTCCTGAATTTCTTAGTAGTACAGACAGTACCTGTCAATATCATATTTTATGGGCATGCACTAATTAGGTGGGCATGCCCATAAAGTATGACATTGACAGGTACTGTCCATACTCCTAAGAAATTCAGGACTTCATAGGCGTGATTTTACTGACAGCTGTCGCAGAGATCAAGCTATATTTTATGAACTATAATAAAGAACTAGATACACAATCCCATACAAAAGTGCTCTAAAAACTGTCGCCAATTGTTGTGACGTAATTCTAGTTGAAATAAATATACATTTATGTAAATTCAACCCTAAATATATTGCCTATAGTTGTATTCACAAAGATACGTACGAAAAAGGTTTGGTCATGTGGAAAGAATGAATGAGGAAAGAATGACAAAAAAAAAATTATGTTGCAGAAGTGAATGGCAGAGTCGGAAAGGGACGTCCTAGGCGAAAATTTATCGACCAAATTGGCGATTTATTGAAAACGGGCCAAATTAGGAGCACCCTTAACCGACGAGCATTTATGCGTAGGTATATGGATGTGAAGGAGGCGAGAGAGGTGTGTCAGGATCGTGCCAAATGGAAGTCTGTAGTCTCTGCCTACCCCTCTGAGTGACAATCGTGAGTGTTTATGTATGTTATGTTACGTACGAAAAGCAATACATTTTTATGACCGAGGCTCGTAGCTTGGGCAAGGAATCATTGGAGTCGAACTGCCCAATATTTTTTGTTACTGTTATTTTAATTTTAAAATGTTTCAAACTTGTTTTAAAAACTGGTGTACATAAAGCATATTCTATTCTTTTTTGTGGTGTATTGTATGTAATGATTATAATTTACCTGAATGTAAATACATTTTTGGATAGGACACCACATTCATTTAGTAAGTACTTGAAACAGTCATAATTATTTATTTATTCTTCATCTTATGTCAATAATTTAAAAATATTGCTTGACCAAGGACTTAAATCTTAATTCAATAGTTACTAAATATAAAAAGTATGTACAGAAAGTTGTAAGTCGTAGTCACATATTCATCACTTTCTAAAACATGCTTCGAACATACAACGCTTTCTTGGGTCGGCTTTGACATGCTATGACTGATATCCGTTCTGCACACCTAACTGAGTCTCGAGGAAAGCTGAAAAATTAAAAATAAAATCTCACATCTTTAATTTTACTACATGCACATATTCAAAATTAAGTCTATAAAATGTTCTATAATATTTAGAGAAACTATAGAAGTCTCATTAAACGAAAAAAAAAACAATCATACTTTAACAATAAAAAATTATAACGTCTCCAACAAATGGAACAGAGTCAACGCGCATACCTCGACCAATTATGACTTATTTTATTAAGACTTAATTTAAAAAATGTTTTAACGGTGATTTCTTCACAAAATATAAGTATTTACAATACAGTGATAAGAATTAAATAATAATAATATTAATACGTACCGAAATTAGGAAATTCCATTCTTTTTTAGCGTCGTGGATGTGTGATTTTTACACTTTTTAAACGAGCACTGAGGCATGTTTACCGTCGGAGCGTTCGAATGTAACTAGATTAAAAGCGCACCCAAATGTTCGAATGGGTGCTCATTCGGTGAGGTCGTTTTTGTCACTGATTGTGTATCTAGTTTTTATTAGTGATCGATGTTTCTCGGGTACCGCCGCCGGATAACGAGTTATTCCGAAAGTTGCCGAATGAACTCGGCTTCCGCCGCTTCGTCTATGCTCGGGCGTTGTTTCGTTTTGAACTTGAATGAATGAATGATGCATCGGGAATGACGTAGCAATATGGCCGAACTGGTTGCATTTAAAACACTTTAATCCCTTTTCTTTAAATGGGTAAAATGTAGACGTATGATTCCTCTCGCCACAGCTAAACAGCGATTCTTTTCAGATGGTTTTTGTCTGGGACTGCGCGCCTCCGATCGACGACATTGTTCCATTTTACTCCTTACAGTTTCGTAAATACGTAGCTTTTCTTTTAATTCTGCGTACGTAGTTACACCATATAGCATTATCTTATTTGTCTCCAGATCACGTATCCAATCGACAATATATTTGATTGCCACGTAATCTGGCATTTTCCCTCTCTTTCCCAACTCTTTCATAGTCAGCATATAATCCAAACAGCTTTCATTGTCTTTCTTCTGGCGTATGCTCATCGTTTCATGTATGGTTTTGATGTCGACAGAATCAGGAAATTCCTTCAATACTACAGCTTTTACGTCACCCCACGACTTAAAAGGTCATTCCGCACGGAGCCAAAGCGCTGCCGTGCTGGTCAACGAGCGCCTCGCCACTAATAATTGCTGTAGTGGAGTCCAGCCGAATATTTCAGCATTATTTTCGATTTCCTGCGCCCATCGTACCGCTGTGAATGTACCGTCTTGTCCTGAGTAGCTTAGTATGAGCTCCGAAGTCATTTCTAGCATGTTGCCGCGAAAGTCAGCTCGTGCGCCGATGCTATCTTCGAAATCATCCTGGCGACTTTTCCTGCGCTCTTTTCCGTCTTTGCTCATCTTGTTGTAGGTACTCGTCTTTGTTTCGTCTTCTTGTAATAACTTCACCAAAATGCCACCACGTGCCGCCAACCGCCGGATATTTCGCCTAAAACTCGTACACTGTCTTCTGAGGGATTTTACTGCACAGATCCCGGACGAGCCCCCAAAAATGTAGTGTTGACCGTGCTGTAAAATCAGAAATATCTAGAAAAAACTCTTTATTTGAATTTAATTAATTTTTGCGTGCGCGTCTTTACAAGCGTCCTTTACCCCATCTTGCTTTTTTATCATTCTCCCTTACTCACTCACTATCATTCTTTTACTCATTCGTCATTCGCTCCGTTCCTTCCAGATCACTTCATTACGCTGCGTTCCATCCCACACACACACACACACACACACACCCATATATATATATATATATATATATATATATATATATATATATATATATATATGTTAATTTTCTAGAAATATTTAACTTTATTATCGGCTTCCTTCCATAATTTGTTATTACCCAAAAATTCACAAAACGTGAACTAAAAATGAATTTTAAATTTTATTCACTTTACTTAAACGTAAAATATTTCATGTATTGAACAAAATATGAATTCATAAAATACGGAACGCAACTGGCTATGAGATAAAAAGAGAAAGAAAGTGTACGCGCGCACTGCTCTCTTCCTTATATCCCCCACTCAACTCCCGTTCGCCTCGTCCGAACGCGTTTCGTAACGCTTTCGTTACGCATTCCCCAAGTAAAGCGTGCGTAAAGAAGTTTTACTTCAATAATAAATTGCCATTGAGAACCTGCCTACATAACGTGGTAACTGTGGCAAATTTCTCACGTATGAGAACGATCTCTGAGGAAGGCCTACGTTCAACCGTGGGCTTTGGATGTGATGTAACGATAGTTTGTGGCTTTAAGAATCGAGTGGAGCAGGGTTTTAAGTATTCGGTGCTTTCCTGCAGACTTCGTGTTGTGCTTGCAGGTGTTCCAGACTATTCTGGAGAAAGTAATGGAAGGCGGTTTATCATATCGAAAAAGTCACTTTACGCCCTCCGAGCTGGTCGAAAACCAGTTAGAAGGCTTGTCAATTTCCAGCTCTTTCACCCGCTGAATTAATTCTGTAAATTCTACATAATTAGATGGTAAGCGGAGTCCGTCATTCTCAGGACACCTATATAACATCTCAGGGGATGGGATAGGATGGGATTTTAACCCCGTGTAAACTAAAATTGAGTCTCCTTCGAATGCTAACTTTTAAATAACATTTTCTTAGTTATGTAAATTTACTTTTTAGTATTTTTATAGTAGGCTGACAAGCATTCAGTCCACCTGATGGTAAGTGGAAGCTGGCCCGAGGACATCTACGTCTGTCCTCATTTAAAAATTAAAATGCAAATGTAAATAATATCATCCCACAAAATTAATATGGAATGCCTCGTTTCCAGTTGAAAGGGTCTCGGTTCTCTACACTCACCATACGAAAAGCAACATTAAGCTGCTATTTTACGCTAGAATCCTGTGAGAGCGTAGTCCTACCCCGTTAGCTACACATAATAGAGCTGCAGTGTGGCTCTACAGCTTATGTAAAATGTGGAAATAAACAGATATTTATTTATTTATTTAATTCTTTCTACTTTGGGCAATTAGAGATATTTAAGTGTAGCGTAAGATGCATTTTGGTGTTTAATTTGGAGTATTCCTATACATATAAATGTATATAAAATATGTTTAAATATCCAAATAATTGGCTTCTACTAAGCTCAAGAGGTTATTTGCGCGCCATTAAGACATCAGTGATCACTAATCATTTTCAAAATTTTAGTCCCTCCGTCTGCGTCACTCCGAGCTTATTTTCAGAACAGATAGGAATACCAGGAGTAATCTGGGCCGTAATTTATTTACAAAAAAAAAAATTGAAAATTTCCTTTAAAATAAAAAAAATTGTTATAATAAATGACCTAAGATGATTATCCAATATTAAAATAACGTCACAATAATAGATCTAGGGTCGCTTATTTATAATATAAATCTTAGGAAGTAGTATTTGTTTTTGTGCCCCTTGCTGTAGAGGTTATTGGTCCGTGGGGTCCACGTGTGGTGGTCCGGTTCTGGAACGGAAGGAACTGTATTCATGACTTGTCGTCACCATCGGTGATAACAGTGGTCCTTTCCTCACTCAAATGCTAAATATAGACAAGGAAACGCATCCAGCGTTCTTGGCAAACCTTGTGGAGGACTTTAATGTGATAATTTAAGTTTTTTGTTATTATGATAATAAATATTGTAAATTTTATTAGTATATAAATAAATTTTAATAAGAAACTTATTTATGTTGTTTGTTTACGATACCGTCACAGTAATACCTAATTTTTAT